AATACATAGTCATCTTGTACACCTTCTTTGGTCAGAATTTTGAGAGTTGCTTAGCTGATGATTTTGTCTCAGAGTCTCATGAAGTTGAGATCAACATGTCAGCTTAGACTTCAGTTATCCAAAGGCTTGACATGGATTGGAGGCCCATGTTCCAGCCAGCTCAGTCACATGGCTGACAAGCTGGTTCTGGCTTGTTCAGGTGGCCCTATTATTTTGCCATATGTTTTTTTTTTTCCCGACAGGCAGTTAGACAGTGAGAGAGAGAGAGACAGAGAGAAAGGTCTTCCTTCCGTTGGTTCACCCTCCAAATGGCCACTACAGCTGGCGCACTGCGCCAATCAGAATCCAGGAGCCAGGTGCTTCTCCTGGTTTCCTGCGGGTGCAGGGCCCAAGCACCTGGGCCATCCTCCACTGCCTTCCCGGGCCACAGCAGAGAGCTGGACTGGAAGAGGAGCAACCAGGACAGAACCGGCACCCCAATTGGGACTAGAACCCGGGGTGCCAGTGACGCAGGCGGAGAATTAGCCAAGTAAGCCGCGGCGCTGGCCAAGCCATATGGGCTTTTGTATGGGACAGCTGGAGTATTCTCACATTAAGTTGTCTGCTTTTTCCCAGAGTGAGTAAGGGAGAGAAAGGTAGTAACAGTGTGATGAAATTTTATGGCTGGCATTAAGTTGTCCATGAGTAGGAGGAAGGAGACGATATTCATAAGTTGGAAGATTTATTGGTGCAAAGTCTGAAGACCACTTTAATGTAGGGTCTCAAGCCTCAAGAAAATATACCAGATGTCCTACCCCACCAATCCATTTTTTATAGAGTAAAATGATTTGAGTATCAAGGAAAGCCTTGAAGGGGAAAGATTAACAATTCTGAAAACCTCAGGAGTTTATGGGTGGCTTACCTGTAGCCCTAGTGATAGGCTTAAACCTGTCTAGCAACCCTTTAACATCTCCATTATTACAGAGAACTTTAGAGTTTCTCAGATGATTTCATAACATGCATTGATCTTAGGAACAGTCTGAGGTTTGTAGGATGAAGTGCAGAGGGTTGAGATGGAAAGACGGAATAACAGAGAACACCCACGGGCACAGGCATTTGCCTGTGTGCTTTATATTCATTGACACTTATAACCAGATATGATGATAGAAATGAATTTCAGTTCTGAGGGAAGCTTAGCTTTTTTAGGCTTGGAGAAGTTAAAGGTATGTTCAAAATCAGAGCTGGAGAAGGAGCCTAGGTTTCCTTTCAGTTCCATGAACTTCCCACTCAGTTGCTTTGCTTTTCAGCATGACCAACCATGGCTACTGCTTCTCTCATATGCACAGTTCTTGACTTCTCTTCCTCTTTGGGCAGCACAGTACTCCTCAAAAGACAAAGGACTCTGTAAGTGCAGGCCAAGAATGGATTTTTTTTCCAGGAATAGTAGAAAAAGCAGCAGCAGCCTTATTGAGAGCTTGTTCGAAAGGGAAAAGAGAAAGGAACAAGGTACACTGGGTCCTTCTGGGTTTCTAAATGCTATTTGTCCACTACAGAGAAGTAATTCTGAAAGTGTGATCCCTGCGTCACCCGTATCAGTATTACCTAACAATGTGTTACAAATGCATATTCTTGGGGCCAGCATTTGGCATAGAGTTAAGCTGCCACCTGTGACACCAGTATACAATATGGGCACCAGCTGAGTCTCAGCTGCTGTGCTTCTGACCCAGCTCCCTGATAATGTGCCTGGGAAAGCAACAGATGATGGCCCAAGTGCTTGCACCCCTGCCATCCATATAGGAGACTTAGATGGAGTTCCTGGCTCCTGGCTTAGACCTGGCACAGCCCTAGTTATTTTGGTCATTTGGGGAGTGAATCAGTGAATGGAAGATCCCTCTTTCTCTCTGTCACTCTTTCAAATAAAATAAATACTTTTAAAAATGCATATTCTGGGGTCAGCATTGTGGTGTAGCAGGTAATGCTGCCACCTGCAATGCTGGCATTCCATACGAGCGGCAGATAGAGTCTTGGCTGCTGCACTTCCAATCCAGCTCCCTGATAATAACCTGGGAAAAGTAGAAAATGGTCCAAATACTCGGACCTCTGCCACCTAAGTGGAAGACCCAGATGAAGCTCCTGGCTCCTGGTTTTGACCTGGCCTGCCACTGGCCTTTGCAGGCATCTGGGGAGTGAATTAGCAGATGAAAGATCTCTCTAACTCTACCTTTAAAATAAATAAATAAATCTTTTTTTTTTAAAAAAGCACATTCTAGGGTCTATCCCAAACCTATGGAAACAGAAACTCTGGAGTTGGGGACTACAATTGTTTAACAAGTCCTCCTCATGGTTCTGATACACACTTATAAACTGGAAAGGCAGAATAATAAAAAGAAGGAGAGATGGAGGGAGATCACCCTTCCGCTGTTCACTCTTCAAATGCCCACAACCATTGGGACTGAGCCAGGACCAAGTCTGGAGATGGGAACTCAATCTGTGTGTCCCCCATGGGTGGCAGGGACCCAATCACTTGAGACATCATCAGATGCTTCCCACCTTCCAAGGGGCACATTAGTAGGAAGGTGGAACTGGGAGTGGACACCAGAACTCAAACCCAGGCACTCCAATATGGGATGTGGGAATTCCAAGAGGCATCTTAACTACCATGCTGCCTGCTTGCCTGCCTTCTTTTTTTAAAAATTCCATGTCATTGATGGGAGTCTTGAGAGAACAGCTAGAGCCACAAAACCAAGGTCAGCATAGCCAGAGTGGCTTTGGAGCTCCCAGGAGCTCACCGCTGCTCCTTGCCCTACGGTTAACCTCAGGAGCTGGCTTCCCTTCTTGACTAGGCTCCAAAAGTCCAGAAGCACAAGCCTCATTTTTCCCTGACACAGCTCTTGCCTTTCCAGGCTCCTCAATTTGCTCCCTCCAAGAGAAGCAGGGAGAGATGATATATTTTTCTTCCATTCTTTGCTCCAAAATGAAAAATACTGCGCGGTGTTAGAATTGTGACCTGGCCTCAGTCCTACCATTACTGGCTACATGGCATTGGACAGATCACCATCTCTGGTTTCAATTTCCATCTGAGGAACAGAGCATTGGACCAGCTGCTTCTGCTCCAACATTTTATGGTTCTATGTAATATCACAAGCATATCCTTAAAAGGTAAACTGTTGGGATTGAATCTCACCCTTTAATACCTTGTATCTTGAAAACCTCCTCCTCCCATGTTTAATATGAAACACAATAAAGCCTCTGTACAGTAAATTCATCCTAAAGGGCCGAATACACAGAAAGTAAAGACTGCAGCACATTTGCTCCTCATATAAATTGAATCTTTCTAAATACACTCAATATCACTATTAACTGCTTTGATAAAGAATAATTGCACATTCAAAAATGAAGCACTGATATTCTTTATTTCAAATTCCTGACTTATTTCTCATTGATAACAGTAAGCAAAAAGACACACTTCTTTCCCAAATTATTTGAGTGGTTCCATTTTAATGCATGCTCTTCAGCTGCTTTTTCTTTCTGGCACGATAAAGAGACTCACTCTGATCTATTTTCACACGCTGAAACAAGAGAAATGTCAAATGTAATGACTCAATCAGCAAGGGCATGCCTCTGTAGGGAATGGGGGAAGAAGAGCATTTCAGAAATTCTTAGGAAGTTTGAATAATTATTATTACATAAAGACTTGTTTATTTGAAAGGCAGAATGGCTTAGAGAGAGGCAGTTTCTCGCCCCCCCCCCCCCTGTGTGTGTGTGTGTGTGAGAATGAGGAAGAGAGAGGGAGCAAGTGAGTGAGATAGCTTCTTTCCATTGGTTCACTCCCTAAATGGCTACAATGGCCCAAGTTGGGTCAGGCCAAAGGATAAGGATCCTGGAATTCCACCTAGGATCCCAGGTCTCTCACATGGGTGTCAGGGATCCAAGTACTTGGGCCATCTCTGCTACCTCCTAGTATGCACATTAGCTGGGAGTTGGATCATAGGCCAAGTAGGTAGGAGCACTCTGATATGGGATGTGGCATCTGAAGCAGCAGCTTAACCTGCTGTACCACAACACCAGCCACTCTATTATATTTTTTATCCTAAGAAAACAAAGATACCACTGATGTATTTTTTTAAGATTTATTTTATTTATTTGAAAGGCAGAATTAGAGAGAGAGAGAGACAGACAGACAGACAGAGAGGTTTTTCATCCACTGGTTTACTCCCCAAATAGCTGCAATGGCTATAGCTGGGCCAGGCTGAAGGCTGGAGCTAGGAGCTTCTCCCAAGTCTTCCATGTAGGTGCCATGGGCCCAAGCATTTAGGCCATCTTCCACTGCTTTCCCAGGTGCATTAGCAAGGAGCTAGATCAGAAGTGGAGCACCCAGGACTTGAACTGGAGCCCATATGGGATGCCAGCACGCAGATAGCAACTTAACCTGCTACACCACAATGTCGACCCCAGGTAATGTATAATAATGCATTAATAATACAAATTACATCCCAAACTTGATAAAGTCAAGGCTAGGGAAGGTATGCAGAAAAAGGCTGTGGTACACTATTTCAGTTGCTTTCCTATTTCCTCTTAGCTCCTTCCTAAAAGACAGTTGATTTTGCTGGCATCATCCCAAAGCAATGACTCATGACTGGCCTGAACCTATGGTGCCATCCATTTCCCAGCCTCCCAAGCAGTGTTAGTGACTACATGATCTAGTTCTGATGGGAAATGTGAGTGGAGAGGGACACAGAAGTGAGCTTGGAGAAAGCTCTGCAAGCCACATTAAGGATTTCAAACTTTATCCATATCCTACCCTACACTCATAGAGTATTCTCAATATCCCCATCTTAGAAAGAGGAAATATGTCTTCTTGATAGAAGTCATACAGATATTAAGTGAATGAACTGTAATTCAGGCCAAGGTTCTGCTTTTGAGTTTTGTAGTGTGTAGGACCCAAAGAATCCCCCCAAACATCACTGTGTGCAAACTAGTTAGAAATAAAAAATGAGAGATGACTGAGCCTGTAGAAAATGTTTTATGATAATGTAAAATTATATTTTATTTTTTTAAAGATTGAGATGGCTGTAGAAAATCTTTTATTAACAAAGAAAAGGTTGATATTTACATAGTTTAAATTCCAATATTGAAAGAAAAATCAAGAAGTCACAGAATTCAGAATGTCTGCTCATGCTTTTCAAAGAAAAGTCCCCTATATTACTGACTGGAATAACTGTCTATTTTTATATTAAGCCATTGGTTTGACAAAAACAAAATGAAACACAGGAAAATTCCTCTATTTGTGGGAAAGTCTCAGCATAAGAGACACAATGGTATTAAAATACAATGCAAAGGAAAATACAGCAAAACACATAAAAACCTGTAGTAAACAGGTACTTTATTCAGTGTGACTGCTACTCCCGGTAATTTGAAAATGGCGAGCATTGGTGTGGGATGGTAGGGAGCAGCATTTTCCAAACCAAGTGGGTGTAATCAATATTTTTAAAAATTAAAAATAGAAAAAAATTAGTGCATAATATATAAGGCCAACATTTTGTAGCTCCCGATGTGTGTATATGTACACATACATACAAAGTACTTCAGAAAATTCAAGGAAAGATGGGATTAAAATATAAGTATATTTTGGTATAGAAAAATGCTTAAATTTGCACATAGTTTTTATAATACATATTTTCCATGAACTTTTACAAGATCCTTATGTAGCTACAGACCTACACACATATATGCATTACATAAACACACATACACTGGATTATATATAGATTGGATTGTGATGTAATGCTCATTTCTTACTCTGGGTTCCAGTCAGAAAAGTTTAGCAGTCATTGTTATAGAGGAGCTTGCTCCTTGTTTATGAGCTGTGCTATGCCGATGTACCACTTACAGTGAGAGCAAGCAGCTCATTACTGGATTCCTGTCCATTGGGATGGATACTTCCTGTACTAGCTGTTGCAGAAACCATGTGTGATAGAAAAATCATACAAAATCACTGTACCACAGTACATAGCACACCTTGGTTAAGGATCTTAAATATTTCGAGTTTCCTAATTCACCTCAGAAAGGGTTTGCTGCGTTGCATCCTTATGCTGTTACCTGCAAACCTTGAAAATAAAGATAAAAAGAAATTAATGGAGAATTCTTATCCTCATTTTAGTAAATCTTCACATCAACAACAAGAAATCTAAGGATGTTAACATAACAAGGTTTCTGAAGTAAAAAATGCTGCTTTCTTGTAAAGAATTAAATCAATTCCAATTATTTTAGACCATACATAACATTTTAAGCAAATCTTAATATATCAGGTATCCAACACCAACACCATTTACAACAGGAATAATGATCCTTGACTTCAGGGAATGAAAAAGTTTGAGGACCAGAAGAGTAATTCCAAGATGGCTGGCTGCCATATAATTGTGGAATGCTATGTTTGATGTGGGCAAAGCAGTAGTATAGCCTCTAATCTCCTTTCTTAAATGAAGGAAACATAGCTGAATACTTGATTTGGCTTAGAAATTCAGTGATAAGCATACAACATTCTTATTATGCATCTCATGTTGAAGAATACAAATATTTTAATCTTTTCATGTCTGAAATATGTAAGATATAAATATGATATAAAATATGTAAGATATAAATATGATATAAAATATGTAAGATATAAAAATGATTATACCCTTTGGCCAACCAAGTACAAGGTCTGAATTACACTCCAGGAATAGAATTAATTCAAAAAGAAAACCAAGAACATGTGCAGATATTGTTACAGCAGATGAAACATTTGTAAAAACACTAAATATCCAGTAAGTGGAAAATGTGTTAATTTGGACTATTATGCTAGATAATTATATTATTATAACTATAAATCATAATTTAGATCAAGTATAGAAAAATACAAACATTTGATAACTAAGTTTTTATTTTGCAATTTCTTATTCCTTTGATTTGGAACTAGACATGTGGCATCTTTCTTCTGTACTAAAATGTCAATGTCAAGTCTTGGATTTCACTTCAGTGTACAAAACAGAACTTAGCCTTGAATCTTTTAACTGGGAGTGATACTTAGTCAATTTCATTATATAATTAACTCAAGAAATCTGTGTAAATATTAAGTATTACTTTTGAAGCAGAAATAAGCATGGCTGGTTAACCATTGTCCTAGTAAGTCTCATAAAAAGTAATGTGAACAGCAAAAAGACTAGATGCACACTCATTAAAATTCATCAACTTTGCTGAGTTCTGGGAACACAGGTGATATTTTATTCCTTTTTACTTTTATATTAAAATTTTAAAAATGCATTTATAAATTAAGAGGAAAATAAACATTTAAGTAATGAATTGGAACATCCCTGGTGGCAACACTCATTTGTTATAGTGATGATAGGTAATGATAAAATTTTGCATCAAATTTTGGATTTAAATGAGGACTGACTTAAATGTATGACTTCATACGCTTACTTTCCCAGTTATGTAGTTTTATTACAATTCAATTCATTTCTTTTAGTTCTCCTTTCATTATTACCCCCTTATCATAATTATAGTCTTAAATACTTAGAATGGAGTTACCCACACAGGTTTGTGAGACGGTTATGAGAAAAAAGCGGAGAGTGGTCCCTTGAACACTTGACAAAAAGGCTTCCTCAGCTAGCAAAGTCTCACGCTCAAGGTTAAACCAGGCTATGCTGAGGCTCCCTCCAGGCCAACTTTGCCAGGTTACCATGGATAGAAGAACTAGGAAAGGTGAAGGATTACTATAAATAACACAGTAACTTATTTATGCAACTGAGAAAAAACTATCATAAATCTTGAGGTAGGAAAAACTGATGTGCTTCTGTTTCTCTGTCTTTTCTGTTGTTTCTGTTTTTTTTTTTTCTTTTTTAAACTTTATCCAATATCTACAACATAAACAAGAGAGCCTTAAATGGTATAACTGAATATTTCCTCGCTTGCTACTAGCACACAGACCAGGAAACAGAAGGTTGGTTCACACACAGAAACGTATTTCCTGGTGGGCTTGCAGCAACTGTCAGAACACACCAGCTGCTCTTGGGCCTTGGAACAGATGGTAAAGGCTGGATTTGGAATGGAATTGGGTGCCATTTATCTGAACTACATGACCAGGTCTCCTTTTATTTTTATCAGCAGATAGATTATGAGGCCAAACTCCAATGTATGATGTAGTCAGTGAGGAAGAATCAGACCTGAACATTAGCCACTACTGAGACAACATGGAGATATAGGTGGGTGTCCAGCAGCTAAAACACATCTGAAGCACCTCATTAGGGCCAGACAGGGGAGTCATTAACTCTCAGAGAAGTGGCTCTGCCTCAGGTGCTTTCAGTTATGCAGGCTGAGCCCTCCTCTGCACCCTACACTTTACATCTACTCATGTCAGCACCCGGAGCTTCACCGTGGGAGACCTGCTACTCATCAAAGTAACAGATGGCAGCGGTGGGTGGGCATATCTAGCATGGATTATAAATTCTACTTGCAAGAAGAAATGTTCAAATGACTCCGAAATTCCTTCAAATGTGTTCATGCCCACATGACGGGCTGATCCTGAAATTAGGAGCTGCCTTGTTGGGCTCACTCCTTTTGTCAGAAGGGAATTTACCGAAGACATAGGAAATCTAATTTTTATTGAGAGATGACAGTTGGGCTAGGCAGTTCATCTCACCAAAAAAACACGTAATACTCTTCACTGCTGGAGTGACTCATGCTGTCTTCTCTTGCGCCAAGTGATGATTGCATCTTGCCTGTATTAGCCACAGAAATCCTTTTAACTTATGTAATTCAAATACCCCAGCAAATAGATCTATTGTTTTGCCCTCCCAGAAGGCTTTTTATCCATCTTCTTCTGGTTCCTACTTCCTGCTCTGTTTTCCCTTTGGAAAAATTTTAAAAATTATTTATTTATTTATTTACTTATTTATTTATTGACAGTGAGAGAGAGAGAGACAGGGAGAAAGGTCTTCCTTCCGTTGGTTCACTTGCCGCTATGGCCGGCACTGTGCCGATCCGAAGCCAGGAGCCAGGTGCTTCTTCCTGGTCTCCCAGCAGGTGCAGGGGCCCAAGCACTTGGGCCATCCTCCACTGCCCTCCCAGGCCACAGCAGAGAGCTGGACTGGAAGAGGAGCAACCGGGACTAGAACTCGGCACCCATATGGGATGCCAGGGCCGCAGGCAGAGGATTAACCAAGTGAGCCATGGCGCCGGCCCTGGAAATTTTTTTAAATCAGGAAGTCTTAGGTGTCATAAATTTAATTACAAGATGAGACTTATGAACCATCATCCTGGCCAACATGACTGGTTTAGCAAGTCATGTGACCCAAGAAGGGCCAATCAAAACCTTCCCTGAGACTTTTCAACTTAGCTAAAGCCAAAAATTACTTTTTCAAAAAGTGTATAAGATAAAGAATTTTAAACATATGCAAAATCAGTGAGAAGAGCATATGAATCTCCTTGTATTTGATGCCCAGCTCCAACATTTATTAACTCAAGGGCAATCTTTAAGAAGTTCTAGCTGGCTGTTGGACCTAGGAGGAAGACGCCACCAACATATATCACTTCTGTCAACAGAGTCTGACTTCAAAAAGACCCAAACACAAAGCAGAACTGTAGCTGAGCCCTGGAGGCCACACTTGAGCTCTTTAATCCAGCTGAGGCTGAAGCCACTACTACCATTGTACATTCTTTTTGCTTAAGCCAAACTAAGGTGGATTTCTATCACTTACAAAACGTACTGTCTAATATGAGAACCTTAAAAAAAAAAAAAAACTCGGTAAATGATTTTAAAAGCTTGTGTTTATCGTTGATGCATTTGAAAATAGGAATAAAAAAATCTGTAAATAAATGAAGAAAAGGGGCTGGTGCTGTAGCATAGCAGATTAAGCCTCTATCTGCAGTGCCGGCATCCCATATGGACACTGGTTTGAATCCCAACTGCTCCAATTCCATTAGCTCCCTGCTAATGTTCTGGAAAAGCAGCAGAGAATGGCCCAGGTGACTGGGCCCTTGCATTCATGGGGGAGACCCGGAATAAACTCCTGGCTCCTCGCCTCAGCCTGGCCAAGCCTCAGCCCTTGCGGCCATTTAGGGAGTGAACCAGCATATGGAAGTTCTCCCTCTCTCTCTCTGTCTCTCCTCTCTCTCTTTCTGTAACTCTTGACTTTAAAATAAATAAATACAAACAAAAAAAAGGAAAAATGGAGTGTCAAACATATTAAAATAAAAGTATTTTAGTTGTATGCTGCCCAAAAGATAATTTCAATCACTTTGGGATAGACATCTACTAAAAATATTAAACCAACTAACACAGACATCCTTAAAAGATGTAACAAAGAGTAAATATTTTCAACCCCCAAAAGCTGATAAAATAATAAAGGCTCCCATTACCACAGAATCTCTGATTCTAAGTTATTTTCAAAGCAAAGGTGGAATGAACACAATCATTCCTACATTAGCATTCTGGTAGGCTCTTCTTGGAACTATAAGGAAATATTTTCCTGTTGTTCCTCCTCTATTATCCACTTTGATAGGAAAATACTTACACTTTTGTTTTGCTAGTTCTTGTATTAGATCTTCATATACTTGTGAAAATAGGTCCTCTTCAGATTTTGTCCCATCTAGGTAGACTGAGAAGGGGGAAAGGAGGCAGTTCAATTGAACAGGCTTACCAATAAAGGGTGCTTACTTTCGCACCTGGCATCTCTTGCAAGTGCCAACAGGTTTAACAGAAGAACCAAGACCATAATTAGAAAGAAAATTTAATAGCAATTAAAGAAAGAAATAGAGCACAGCCACATAAAAAATTTTGATTTGTTATACAAAAATCTGTACTACTGCTGTGAAAATAAATGATTTAAATTAGAAAGAAAGAAAAGGAAAGTATAGGAAAGAAAGAAGAGAGTTAACTGGCATTATATTTATGGCATGTTAGGAGCACTGAAGAGCACCTGTCCTAAAGAGTCATTTTAAGGGAATAATTTCACAGCTTATGTGTCAGGATCACTTATGAAGCTTCTTAAGTCATGCATTGGTCTGGCTCTGCCAAATATGTGCTGAGTAAGACTTTTAGAGGCCCAGAGGGTATGAATTTTTAATAAAACCAGCAGAAGCAATTTTGGGGAAACAGTTCTCCAGGTTAATGGAAGGAAAAGTACTTTCTGTTGGAAAACTTCAAGGCTTGAGAGGTACAAGAGAACTTTGCTGGTTCAGAAAAAGAGGCCCAGTTTGGCATGCATAGAATGTGGGAAGGCAGGACAGATGAGAGAGGCGATTTTAGAGCAAAGCTGTATCTTAGTCTTTAGAAGCCCAAATGTCTCTTTGGAAGAGCTAGAGACTGTTGAAGATATCTGTGTGGGGCAGCGTGGTTAGATTTGTGCTTTTGTTGGAGAGGGAGTAAAGGATGGTAAGAGGGTATCCTTGTAAGCAGTGGTCCGAACCGGAAGCAGAGCAGCCAGAACCATAGCAATGGCTCTGGGGCTGGGCTCTCTGATATCTGCACATCTCTGACATCGCCACCTAACCTGGGATCCAACAGGCTTCTCACCACATGGACAAGTCCCCCTGTCCTGAAAAGTGTGTGTCAGAATAAAGCCTGCCTATCTAGCATCCTTCTGCTAGATATAGCAGAAGGTATAGAGCTCTGTATCCCAGGGACCTGTTCTTAGCTTGGGCACACAAATCCAGATGCCTTCCTCCCAGTCACTGCACTATGCCTCCCAGGACCTCAACTTCATTATGTACAGATAGGACTTGGATTCCTCATTCACAGATCTGCAACTTTTTTTTTTTCTGAAATAACATGTCTGTTTCCGTGGTGCCTGTCATTTTTCTGTATTGATTCCATCACTCGGTTCTTTTGAGCACATATATCCAGTATTGTATCCTCTAACTCCATCCCCCACACGCAGCCAGAGGGAGCTTACTAGAACAAGAATTTGTACCAACTATGTCCTTGCATAAAACCTTTCTGCAGAGAGTACATTTCTACAAGGATAATGATTGAAACCCTTAACTGGCCAATGGGCCTTGTAGGTTTTAGATACTGCCTGTATCAAGTCTCCTTTGGTTTTCTCTACTTGAACACATGTTTCAGGTGCTGCTCCTTCCTTCTTGTCCCTTGACATTTTCATGTGCCAAACGCACTGTTTGGGGTGATCGCCCATTCCCCTAACCCACATCCCTTTGTCCAGTTAAACTCATCTGAGTTTAGTTTAAAACAACAACCATGGGTAGGCGTTTGGCATAATGGTTAAGATGCTCATATCCCACGTGGAAATGCCTGGGTTCCCTGCCACTCATATCAGAGACAGAGATTAAGTTCCCAGCTTCTGGCTTTGGTCTGGCCCAGTGCCAACTGTTGCAGCTATGAACCAGCAGATGGGAGATTGCTCTCCTGATATGCCTCTCAAGTAGAATAAGGAAAAAAAAAACCAACAATACAATCCACAATATATCTTATGAAGAACCAGAAGGGTGGAGTCCAAAGGTTCCATACACAAAGACATGATAAGTGCACAAGAAGATGGAAACGCTAATGGCCCTGATTTGATCATTACACATTGTATGCAGATACATGCCCCATAAACATATATACTATCCATCAGTTGAAAAGAAAAAAGAAAGTCCTCCTCAAATCAGACTCCCCTGAACACTGGGCAGTGAACACCCAGGGGCATGGTGTCACAGCTGGTCCAGCTAATGTCTATAATGCAACACCCAGAAGTTGCTCCTTAAAACATCCCTTTATAACCTGTACATGAGAAAAATGCTTCCCAAGCCCTTTGTTTTCTGTACTTTGAGACAAATGACAAGCAATGGCCTCATGTGGAAGGAGAGGCACTTACCAACTTCCCATGCGATGTCCTCCATTTCTCGTCTGTGCTTTAGGTACATGGGCCACACATGGCCATCGAAGTACCCAGGGGGGTCTGGAGGCTCATAAACTCTTGTGCTGTCAAAACATGTACAAACTTTATGTCACTAGAAACTAAGGATGGTCAGGATAATGAGAAAATCATTCAGAGACTAAACACAATTAATTACATGTTCTAGACTCAGTAGCACTTAGAAAGACAATAAAATGGATCTAGTTCTGAGATCTAAAAATTAACTTTATAATTCACTATCATTCATAATATTTTCCCTTCTCTAGTGCTTTATAAGAGATTGAGACAAATATTACTGCAAATGATGGAGATGTGATATGTTAATGTAAGCTTTAAACTGATTGGTGTTCTTTGTAGCTATAGTAGAATACAAAACAGGCCCACTAACTTAAAATCATAAACACCATCTGATTAATTAGTAATAATCAAATGGGATCTCTTCATTTCAAGATTTAGGAAAAATGGGCTGAAATAGTTTGATATTTCTTTTTTAAAGATGTACTTTATTTATTTAAAAAGCAATTACAGAAAGAGAAGAAGAGAGAGAAATCCTCCATCTGCCAGTTCACTCCCCAAATGGCCGTAATGGCCAGGGCTGGGTCAGGACAAAGCTGGGAGCCAGAAGTTTCATCTGAGTCTCCCACATGGGTACAGGGACCCAAGCACTTGAGCCATTCTCTGCTGCTTTCCCAGGATATTAGCAGGGAGTCTGATTGGAAGTGGAGCAGCCAGGACTCAAATCGGTTTCCACATAGGATGCCAGTTACTGATAGTAGTTTAACCTGCTACACTGCAACACCGGCCCCAATGACTCTTTTCTTAGAAAACTGATTTGCATTTTTCCATGAGGATTGATGTTTATGGAAAAACGTTTTGCCCCTTGTATGAATGAGTTGAGGCATCCTTTGAGAAATGACCTACATGCACCGCTTATAGTGGTGCATCCCTTGTTTTCCCTAAATGCTGTCATTTGTATGATAACCCACAAAGATGACTTTGAAACTCACCTCCTCCTCCTCTTGCATTCTTCATAGGGAACGGTCAGAAAATAGCTTCTATTCCATATAGGATCAAACGGCCTAAAATAACAGCACACTGAGTTCACAAGGTTTCTGCCTATTCATTCTGAGTCAGTATTAGATGGGAGATTCTTACTTATAATTAAAGAGAAGGAAACCTTCGATGATTAAAATGGAGATTTCCTCATTCCTGTCTGTCGATTGCTGAGTGTGTCTTGGATTTTCCATCCAGCAAGAAACAGCTGACATCATTTTTTCCATGTTCAGCGCTTCAAGCACTTCAAACAAACATAAGAACATATGAAAGCAAGGCAGAAAAAAGTTTGGAGTGGCTGGCATTTTGTGGTACAGCAGGGCAAGCCACGACCTGCAACGCTGGCTTCCCATCTGAGCACTGATTCAGGTCTTGGATGCCCCACTTCCCATCCAGTGTCCTGCTAATGTGCCTGGGAAAGCAGTGGAAGCTGGCCCAAGTACTTGGGTCCCTGAAAGCCATATAAGAGAGGCCGGTGCTGTGGAGCAGCTGGTTAAAACCCCAGTCTGCAGCGCCGCCATCCCATAGGGATGCCGGTTCGCGTCCTGGCTGCTCCACTTCTGATCCAGCTCTCTGCTATGGCCTTGGGCCCCTGCACCCTTGTGGGAGACCCAGAAGAAGCTCCTGGCTCCTGGCTGTGGATCAGCACAGCTCCAGCCATTACAGCCTTCTGGGGGAGTGAACCAGCTGATAAAAGACCTTTCTCTAACTCTGTTTTCAAATAAATTAATAAATCTTAAAACAAACAAACAAACAAACAAACAAAAACAACATATGGGAGATAGGGATGGAGTTCCTCACTTTGGACTAGATCAGCCCTGGTCTGGTCATTGTGCTCATTTGGGGAGTAAATCAGTAAATGGAAGATCTCTCTCATTCTCTCTCTCTGTAACCACTTTTCAAATAAAAATAAATAAATTGGCTGGAACCACGGTTCACTAGGCTAATCCTCTGCCTGCGGCACCGGCATCCCAGGTTCTAGTCCCGGTTGGGGCACTGGATTCTGTCCCGGTTGCTCCTCTTCCAGTCCAGCTCTCTGCTGTGGCCCGAGAGGGCAGTGGAGGATGGCCCAAGTGCTTGGGCTCTGCACCCACATGGGAGACCAGGAGGAAGCACCTGGCTCCTGGTTTCGGATTGGCGCAGTGCACCAGCTGTAGCTATGGCCACTGGGGGATGAACCAACGGAAAAAGGAAGACCTATCTCTCTGTCTCTCTCTAACTCTGTCAAAAAAAAAAAAAAAAAAAAAACTTAAAGAAAGAAAGTCTCCCACGTTAACTAGATTTGTCAGTTTCTCTTCTTAGTTATGTCAGCTTTTCCTCATTGTATTTTTTTAAACATTATTTATTTATTTGAAAGTCAGAGTTATACACAGAGAAGAGAGCCAGAGAGAGAGAGAGAGAGAGTGTCTTCCATCCAATGGTTCACTCCCCAGTTGGCTGCAATGGCTGGAGCTGCGCCGATCCGAAGCCAGGAGCCTGGAGCTTCTTCCGGGTCTCCCACGTGGGTGCAAGGGCCCAAGACCTTGGGCCATCTTCTACTGCTTTCCCAGGCATAGCAGAGAGCTGGTTCGGAAGAGAAACAGCTGGCTCTCTAATGGTGCCCATATGGGATCCGGCGCTTCAGGCCAGGGGGTTAACCCACTGAGCCACAGCACCCCTCATTGTATTTTGATTTTATTAGGTACATACAAATTTTTTTTATTTTTTTTTATTTTTGACAGGCAGAGTGGACAGTGAGAGAGAGAGACAGAGAGAGAAAGGTCTTCCTTTGCCGTTGGTTCACCCTCCAATGGCCGCCGCTGCAGCCGGCGCACCGCGCTGATCCGATGGCAGGAGCCAGGATCCAGGTGCTTTTCCTGGTCTCCCATGGGGTGCAGGGCCCAAGCACCTGGGCCATCCTCCCCTGCACTCCCTGGCCATAGCAGAGAGCTGGCCTGGAAGAGGGGCAACTGGGACAGAATCCGGCGCCCCGACCGGGACTAGAACCCGGTGTGCCGGCGCCGCAAGGTGGAGGATTAGCCTATTGAGCCACGGCGCCGGTCTTGGTACATACAAATTTGAAATTCTTTTTTTCTTCCTATTGAATGGGCTCCTTTATCCATCTTTATTTCTAGTAATGTCCTCTCTCTTAATGTTTGCTTTATCTGGCACTAGTATATTCAGTACAGTTATTCCCATTTTCTTTCAGAACATGTTTCCATTGTTAAATCTTTTTCTAGTCTTTACTATCTACTTATGTCCTCACATTTAAGTCTTTTTTCAACTTTTATTTAATAAATACAAATTTCCAAAGTACAACTTTCGAATTACAGTGGCCTCTCCCCCCAAAACCTCCTTCCCACCCGCAACCACCCCATCTCCCATCCCATTCTTCATTAAGATTCATTTTCAATTATCTTTATATACAGAAGATCAACTTAGTATATACTAAGTAAAGATTTCAACAGACTGCACTCACACAGATACACAAAGTACAGAGTACTGTTTGACGACTAGTTTTACCGTTAATTATCATATTACAACACATTAAGGACAGAGATCCTACATGGGGAGTAGGTACACAGTGACTCCTGTTGTTGATTTAACAATTGATTTAAGTCTTCTTTTTAAGGAGCTTAGAGTGGCTTAAAAAATCCAGTCTAAAAACCCTTGGAATACTTGATTTCTTTTAATTAGTGTAGCTACTAATATATTCTTGTTTCAATCTATCATCTTACTATTATTTTGTTTTTGTCCTTTCATTTTTTGTCTACCACCCTTTGATTTTTTTGATTTCTGTTTGTGGCTTCTTTCCTACTTATTAACTGGATTGCAATTATTCTACTGTTTCTTCTATGCCTTGTTATACATTTTAAAACTATTCTTTTAGTGATCCTAAAGATCTCAATATCACCTTGACTCACTTTAAATCTGTACATTTTCCTAAAGATTTCAATTTTTTCCTGAAGATATTTTCTGGATGTGGGATATTTGAACTCATAGCATGAATATTTTACAGTCTTTGGGACATATATTTAATCTCCTTTCAAAAAAGAATATACCAATTTATACTACCATTTGAAGTGCATGAAAGATTTTGCTTTATTGAGCCCACAGTGTTCTTAGATAATTATCATTGCTTTAAAAATCTTTACTTACTTGGTGAGAAAAAATGTCATTTGCAATTCTTTGACTTATTTCAAGGCTGACTTTTTATTGTACATTTATTAGTCAATTCATCTACTGCTTCTGTGACTAGCTTATTCATAACCTTAGACCATTTTTTTTCCCTGCTGGGATAACAGTTTTTCTTATCAGTTCACAAGAATGTACAAGCAGGCATAATAATTCTTTGTTCATTGTTGAAAAACATTTTTCCTTGTTTCATTCTTCTTTGTGATAATCTTTCCTTACTAACCTTTGGAAGAGCTGTAACTCAAGACACAAGAACACAGTGAGTGAAGGATTTTGTCTCTCTTAAGACTGTTATGTGTCTTGTTAGAACTGATTTCATAACATTTTGCCTCCAAGGTTATCAAAGTTTAACATAAAGAACATATTTTAGAATTTTTTTAAAAGAGCTCCCTCTGTTGCCAGTATGCATAAGAACTGGATGATTATCTTGTTACACCAGTTAATAAAACCACAAAATAGACACAGTCTGTTAGCATGATATTCTCTACAGGAAAGTAAATGTTTTTTGATACACTTTAATCCTTTGACTTCAAAACAGTGTTTGTTTTGGGGAAAAGGAAGCAGATGAATCCATCTAAAAATATTCATACCTTTCTGAGCAGTTAAAAATAGAGAGAAAGAGAGAGAAAAGTTGCCTTGCACTTTGACTATCTGGAAGGAAAGCACAGAGGAAGAGGGACTTTGAACCCAGTTCACCTCAGCCTCAGGAAAAAAAAACTATCATTTTAAAGTCAGTTTTCAATATAAAACAGGGGGAATTATTTTGCTTATTTATATAGTTGAACACACACCAGACACCTAAAAAGGCAGGTTTAAAGTACAGCAGTATATTTAAAAACATTGTCTTCATAGAGCATGAAGTTCTTTGGATTTGAAGAACAAAATAAACACAAGCATGCAACCTTTTTGAGTAGAACCTACTTACCATCATACTGCAAAAATCCATTTTTATCTGTCTCTATCTCAGATTCTGGCTGGAAAAATAATAAGGTACACATTAAAATAGGGTGCAGGCAGGAAAAGTACAATTATAGTCTAAAAAGAAGATAAGCCTTTCACAAATGCTTTGGATGAGGATAAATTCAAAGATCAGCACTGATCCATGGTGCCATCTAGTGGACACCTAACACCATAGCACCAAAGCGACCAACAGTAAAGAGACATTATTTCCAAGAAACTTTTTGGATATTATTCAATTAACTTTGTCAGTGAACATTTTTATGGCTAAGAAATCATCTATGAAGTTTCACAGATACCTTGAAGAAGTCATCCTGGGATATGATACTGCAATTTGGCAGGTGTTTCTGCAATCTCTTAGCCAGTGTTGTCTTCCCACCATTGGTCACGCTGACCCAAAAGGAAAGAACAGTGAGTTTCAAGAAGGAAAATGCATTATAAAGCATAAAACACCTTTAAATGACAGAAATGAAAAACCATATTTGCTATTTAAGAAAAATGGATTTCGTTCATAGATGTTGCTTTTTCTGTTGGCAAAACCACGGGCCCTGGCAGATATGATGTAATTACATGGGAAGAAATAATCAGGCAGGGACGGTTACTAACAGCTATGGAGAAGTAAACTAGGGAATACTACAACTTAAACATACAGCTATTCTGTTCCAGCAAACAATCTTTGTCTCTGGCAAAACAGGATTTAGATGCGACACAGAATATGAAGGCATATCCTAGCGCAAGCACACACAACTGCATTTGGTCTTTGTAATTTTCTTTCAGTGTAGTGCAAAAACAGAAGAGCAGCTTATCGTACTCTAGCCTACTCTGAATTCCCATTCCAGTGTGATGTGTCCTTCTCCCCACCTCTCTCTACCTTGGCATTAGGTGGGAGGTCTGCTGAAGCTGAGCACACCAGATCCGTTGTTTTTCCTTCTGCATGGCCTGTGCCATGGAGGAAGTGAGGAGCACCTGACCATCTCCTCGCTAGATCTGGTTTCCCAGCACCCAGCACCCTACATTGCACATGGGAGGCACTTAACGATCTTATCTTCTATTTAAAGAGTTTCTTATCCTGAAATTCATGTACCTCCAAAGGGTCTGTGGACAGAATTCAGCATACTGGTGAACTTGAATGGGAAATAAATTACACATTTATTTTCACTAAATTCTAATAGAAGCTGTATTTCCTGTAATACAGCTTGTAGTAATTCTTTGTAGTACATTACAAAATGTACTACAGTAGTAGTGTTTTTTTTTTTTTTTTTTTTTGACAGGCAGGGTTAGACAGTGAGAGAGAGAGAGACAGAGAGAAAGGTCTTCCTTTCCGTTGGTTCACTCCCCAAATGGACGCTAAGGCCGGCGCGCTGCACCAATCCAAAGCCAGGAGCCAGGTGCTTCCTCCTGGTCTCTCATGCAGGTCAGGGCCCAAGCACTTGGACCATCCTCCATTGCCCTCCTGGACCATAGCAGAGAGCTGGATTGGAAGAAGAGCAACCGGGACAGAATCCGGCACCCCAACCAGGACTAGAACCTGGGGTGCCGGCGCCACAGGCAGAGGATTAGTCAAGTGAGCCGCAGCGCCGACCTACAGTAGTAGTATTAAGAGTACTTATGGGGGCCGGCGCTGTGGCATAGTGGTTACGGCTGCTGCCTGCAGTGCTGGTTTCCCATATGTGTGCTGGTTCTAGTCCTGGCTGCTTCACTTCCGATCCAGCTCTCTGCTATGGCCTGGGAAAGCATAGAGGATGGCCCAGGTCCTTGGGCCCCTGCACCCATGTGGGAGACCCAAAGGAAGCTCCTGGCTCCTGGCTTTGGGTCAGCGCAGCTCCAGCCAGTTGCAGCCAACTGGGGAGTGAACCAGCAGATAGAAGACCTCTCTTTCTCTCTTCCTCTCCTCTCTGTGTAACTCTTTCAAATAAATAAATAAATAAATAAATCTTTAAAAAAAAAGTACTCATGATTTTTTCCTCTCACAGAATTTACAGGTATGTTCATATAATGTTGCAGTTTAGGAGACATCCTGAAGCATCACTGATGCTCATTATTATTTCATATCTTTGAATATTTCATATTCACTGACTATTGCTATTTATTATGTTAACAGAAAACATACAAGTATACTTTGAAAAGTTTGTGGACTTGGTGGGTGTTTGGTGCAGTAGTTACATCGCCACTTGGGATGCCCACATTCCATATCTGAGTTCCCGGTTCAAGTCCTGGTTACTCAGCTTCTGGTCCAGCTTCTGGCTAATGCACAGCCTGGGAGGCAGCACATGATGGTTTACGTAGCCAGGTCCCGGCCCTCAACATGAGAGACCAGCCTGGTCCAGTCCTGCTGTTACAGGCATTTGGGGAGTAAGCCAGCAGATGAAAGATCTCTGCTTTCCTGTTTCTCTCCCTCTGCCTTTTAAATAAAATAGAAATAATAATTTTTAAACAAGTTTGTAGAAAAGGACATTAAAAGATGTTTGCTTTGATTAAAAAATGCTTAAAATTCATGTATACAAGTGGCATTCAAAATAGTCAGGGAAATGCGTACCTTGAAAAAACTATGCATAGATTTCAAAGTTTTTTGCATCAAAATAAACTTACTTTTTTTTTTTTTTATTTGACAGGCACATACACACACACACACACACACATGGCAGGGGATTGTGTGGAGGTAAAAAGAGACAGTACTCCCATTCACAGGCTCACTTCCCAAATGCCTGCAATGGCCAGGACTAGGTCAGGATAGAATCAGAAACTCAATCCACATCTCCAGTGTGATGACAGGGACCCAACAATTTAACCATCAGCTGCCTCCTAGGGTCTCTATTGGCAGAGAGCTGGAATTTTGAGCTGAAGGTGTGTGTAAAACCTATGTATTCTGATACAGGATACGGGTGTCTTAATTGCTAGGCCAAACACCTGCCTCTAAACTTATCTTTTAACTCCATTTTCCATGAACTTTTTTTTTGGTATATATTACCATGTCGCAAACAAAAAAAATTATATGTCCATATAATCGGAGTCTCTGTTGCACACAAGGATGATGCAGCTCAGAGGATGTGGAGGAAGGACAAGGGGCAGGCATGGGAGGCACTGCAGCTGAGTCTAGCATGGGCTTCCCAGAAGCTGTAGCACTAAAAAAAATCATGGCACTTGCTAAAGGGAAGACAGTGGAAAAGCGGCTTTTTAGGGAGTTATAGGTAGCACCTGGTGTATATGGCAATAATGCATTAGCCAGGCTTCTAGAGAGGACACCATATCGGCACATTGAAGAGAGGGAGGGTGGGCATTTAGTGCAGCAGCTGGTATCGGCTGAGACATCTGCATCCCTTACTGGAGTGCCTGGGTTTGGGTCTCAGTTCTAGTCTCTGACTCCAGCCGTCTGCTAATGTGCACTGTAGGGGACAGCAGGTAATGTCTCAGGTCCTGACATCTCTGCTACTCACAGAGAAGACCTCGACTGAGTTCCCTGCTCCTGGCTCAGTCTGACCTGGGCCTGCCTGTATGGGCATTTGGGAAGTGAACCAGCAGATGGGAGATCTATGTCTATCTGTCTGTGTCTCTGCCTTCCAAATAAAAATTTTGAAAAAGAGGGAAATTTTATTGATGCACATGCAGAATGAAAGTCACATTGGACCCGTAGAGAATTTTGTAATTGCCTCCTCAGTTTCCAGGCTCTTTTTTGACATCTGGTTGGGAATGGTCCGCTTTCAACTCCAGAACAAGACTCTGTGCGTCTGACCAATCAACGTTCTAATTGGTGACTTACTATAGCAATGTGGCAGAATAATACAATGATCTCCCTCAAACTGCAAACTTTTATTTTAGTGGCCTCAAACATTGTATTGATTGGGCCACACATACTATGAATATACTCAGAAGAAAGAGGTATGGTGGCTGGTGAGGTCTTATTTGCATACCTGACTCTGGTACTATGGGGGCCCTTTGGACAGGGAGGAGGCACGTGATTAACAAGTATGCGACAAGGACTAGCTCAGGCAACACAGGACATAAGGTCACCCTCAGTGTGGGGGGGGAAACAAAGGGAGGTGACATGGTTCTGCATCCACCTGCCCACAGAGGCATATAACAATAAAGGAATGATATGTGTTCTCCCTGGTCATGCTTAAGAAGCACCCAAGAGGGGCATGACAAGTCACCCTGAATCAAGATAGTATCCAATTAGGCTTGGCCCTTGGTGCTAGCTCCGGAAAACAGATAGAAGTAAGCAAACTGTGTGGACTGGCTCTTCCATTTCCTTCTCTATGGGACATTCCTCCACCTCCTGTGGCAATTACATAGCGAGCACTCCACTGTTTCCTACTCACAGTGGCCTGCTCTTTTCAGGACTGGGATGCCCACTGCTTCTCCTCCCCCGACATGTTCACAGGAAAATACCCTTTGAACATCCTGAGTGTCTTACCCAGCTGTTGATAGCAAAATTACTCACCCACCAATTCCAATGACAAATGTTTTCATAATTAGCTTTGAAAAGCACGTCTTCCTAATATTTCCTAAAATTAAGAAAGAAATCAAAGGCTTATCATTTGTCTAGAGACGTAAAAGGAAGAGTCCTAAATTTAGAAGTACCAGCTGGGACTGGGGCTGGCGCTGTGGCGTAGCAGGTTAACACTCTGGCCTGAAGCGCTGGCATCCCACTTGGGTGCCAGTTCGAGACCCAGCTGCTCCACTTCCAATCCAGCTCTCTGCTATGGCCTGGGGAGGCAGTGGAGGATGGCCCAGGTCCTTGGGCCCCTGCACCGAAGTGGGAGACCCGGAAGAAGCTCCTGGCTCCTGATTGACATAGCTCCAGCTGTTGTGGCCGGTTGGGGAGTGGACCAGTGGATGGAAGACCTCTCTTTCTCTCACTCTCTCTGTCTCTCTCTCTGTGTAATTCTGACTTGCCAGTGAATAAATACATCTTTAAAAAAAATTCAAGAAGTACCAGCTGAGGGGACAACAGCAGCATCTCTTCAGTACCCTGGCTCCACATTTTCCGGCTGTACTGGCTTCCTACTGTCAATCAGCTGCTAGGTGCCACCAGCTTGTGTGAGCCTAGGGCCCATAAAACAATGCCAAGTGAACTGAAAGGGCCCCTACAGCCAAGCATACACCCTTGAACGTCTCTGCTTACAAGGGCAAGGAAGAGCGGCAGGAACACAGTGTGGCCTATGGAATTCAGCCCGTTCTGAGCCAGGTCGCTTTTCACCTGCAGGATTCAATCTCCAGGGTAAGTAAGCACAATCCACTCGGCAGAGAATCCTCTTCACTGGCCTCGCCTGTCCTCTCGGGAAATAGAAGAAAGTCCCTGCTGGCCAGAGGCAAACAGAAACGTATCTGGTGACTATTTCTTTACCCAAAAGCCTAGGTCCTAGACCCTGGCTAGGCAAGTTTTTTTGGGA